CAAATGTGGAAATAAATATCGAATCTCGACTTTTGAATCGTTCTCTACAGCTTTTGACACCTAGAAGTGAACTTAGAGCAGTGCAGAACTCCAGCTCCCTGCATGTTCCCCCTGCTGAAAAGCTTGCTCCTCAGAGCGCATTTTAGGAGCTTTGCTTGTTTTCACCAGTTATTGCAGTGCTTGTTCGGAAAGTTTTGGTTTGTCTTCTCTTGGGGCCCCCTGAGTTGGGGGCCCAATTCGTAGATTGTAGGGTTTTTTCAAGGATTCTGTGGGGCCTGAAGCTTCAGGAGCGAAAACGGCGCAAATCCCTTCACACTTTCCCGGCGTGTAAATACTTGCAGCACGTTCCCAATTCTTTTGCTGAAAAAACTCGTCTGCGACACTCTTTGGGTGGAACCTTGTGTTTGTGAAAAATACAGAACACCTTCATGGATTTCACAATATCATGGTTTGGGTATGGATGCCCTGATCACAAAATGCAGTCAGGCACGGACGTTGTTTTAGTTTGGGCATGGATACTTGACCACCAAATGTGGACATGGACGTTATTATGGTTTGGGAATAGGTGCTTTGGTCACTGAGTGTGTTCTTGTATGGGCCTTGGCCTTGTTGCGGCTTGGGCAGTCGCGTGTTGACGTTGCTATGGTTCGGGCACCGATGCTCCCAGTTGGCGTGGAAAATGTTGGCTCCCTCACGCTCTGCCGAAGCTGCGAGGATGTTGTGGTTTGTGCAATGCTTTGGCACCGAACGCCATCAAAGATGGGCGCTGTTATCTTTTGGGCACGGGTGCTCTGCTCACCCACTGCTCAGACGAAGCACTGAAACCCAAATCGATCACGGATCTGCAACACGCAGAAAGTCCACCCAACAAATCCCCGGCAAACGCCGGACTCAAGTGTAGCTATGCTAGCTTTGCGACTGCTCGGTATGTTGCCAGTCAGTGAGGGGCCTTGGAATGGAATTGTCAATGCTGATCAGGCTGTCTGGCCACGACGATACGAGGAGGATATGGCACATGTGCATCAAGCTGCTGCCAACTTTCGATAACCTGCACGGCTTCCTTTCCGTCGTGGAAATGCAAAAGAAGCGTGCTGGCACTCATGCCGTAAGCCTTGGAATTCCTGGTTGCCTAGATGATACCTCAGACGGATTGATCTTTGCTGCGCAGAGTCTTATGCACTCCTGCAGCTGCTTGAAACGTCTGGTGCAAGATCCCCGAAAGAGCCTGAGCTTACATCTGGTAAAGTGTCCATTGTAGTCTCTGGCACAGGAGTTTGAGCTGAAGATCAGACGAGTCATATAGGGGAATCATGAATGCAGGCCAGATGAACGCTTGACCGTTGCTGATTGTCAAGCAGACTTGCAACAACTGGCGGCTTGCACGAATTGAGGGCAGGGTTGTTCACTGATCTAATCCAGAGAGGTCAGTCGTCGACTCGCCTCTCTGGCAGAACCGTTAGGTACAGCATGCCCTGAGGCTCCAAAACCTGGCCATCGAGTTCGGTGTAGATAGACGAGGTCACGGACACGTTCAGATAATCGGGTACCAGTTGGGAGCTACCGATGCCGGAGCAAGTAGAATCGTATAAGCCAACAAAAATTTACCTCAAAATGGTGCAATGGGTGCGCTTCTGCGCTGGCCCGTTCTGTCTTGTGCCATGCGTGCGTTGATCTTTAGGATCCTTGCTCCTCGTGGACAGAGAGCAGGCAAATGGTGAAGCAAGGCCCAGTCCTTTCATTCGACATGTCTCCCTGATGGCATTCACGTGTGTTGTTCTCGTGTCCTGTCTATGATGATAAAATTACATGCCTCTGTGTCTTCAAGGCTGCGAAGTGCAAGCACGCACTTGCGTACTTGACAGTGTCTAAGCAGAAAGGTCCAATCATTTTGCAACAAAGCGACTTTTCCGAACGTAGGAGGCTTTCCACCTTGTTACGCTCCACGCAGGCTCCAAAAAGATGGCTTTTGAATTTGGGGCTCTTGAGCCACTGGCCCACTCCCCCATTGTGACTTTGGCCTTAGAAACCAGCATGCGCGAACTGCTGCAGCACTGCAACTCAGCCAAGGGTGCTGCGGACACTGGATTGCTTCCAGGCCTTGGCTGTTGGCAAGGAGTCATCCTTTGTATGCTCTCTGCTCCCTGCAGCGACCTGGGGCCCCACCTGAAGCACTCAGAGTCGAAGAGGAACTTGCGAAGCCAAGTCCAAGCATCTCCCGGCCTTTAGCTTTCTCAGGAACCACCGTTGGGGAACAGCAAATTCCAAGGACGCAGCGGCCAGTGGAACCGAATGTAAAGCATCCCGGCCTTGGGTCGCCACTTCGCGCGCACAATGCTGTGTTGTGCAGAACGAGCATCTGAGAAAAAGGCAGCACGCACCATAGGCGATCCTTTCAATCCCAACAATTGCCGGACCTCTTCTTTCGAGGGCCTCGTGTGCTGGAGTGCCAGCGCCGCCTACCTCTTGGTGCGCTAAGGTTCGAGCTGCAACTGTGCCAACCGATGTATGCAACCTCGGTGAGCACAGTCCCACAGACATAGGCTGCAAATGCTGCAATGTGCTCACTCCTCGAAGACCCAGATGCTTGACAAATGACAGAAGAGCGTAGAGGGGTCACTACGTGACAACGGCGTGTAGGGCTCAGCCTCAACGCATTTGCCCAAAATCATCCAGGGTGCTCCGAAACTTCTCTCAATCAATCAAGCACCCCACGTGGTCTGCGTGGTTGTGAAGTTCATCCAGCAATGCTTCAACCTACAGTCTATCTTGAGGCCCAGTGTCAATGGATGATCTCCAATGAATTCCAATGATGCAGCTAGCATCATGTCAAGCAACACTGTCGACCAATATCAGCACTGTTCGGAAGTATGTGGACCTCGGCAGCATGAGCAGATGAAGCAATTACGGAGCGTTCCCGGCATGCTTGGACATGCCGTAACTGAAGTCTGAGTGAAGTCTCGCACTGCAGCACTTGGCTTTGTAGTTTCTGGCTGAAGCCTGGCCATGAATTTCTGCTGGCTCCCGCCACTTGCTTAGACACACCTGCTATAGGTCAACACCAGGCCTTCCAGAAGTATTCTGTCAGGGGATCTGCGCCTTTTTCCAAGATCTGCTGCACCTGCAGAGCTGCCTGCAGGCCAGTGTGCTCCAAACAGGCGGATCGATCCAGCTCTCACGGATTTGCCTGTTGCAACGGGATGCTCCCGCGATGCTGCACAGCGCTTGCAACCATGTCGGGGACGGCGGTGCAGATGACATCGCCTTGGGCTCAGCCATGCCCACATCAAGTCAAAGTACGGACGGTACGGATTGCCATGGTATCATTCAGGCATCTGCCTAGCTGCCCAGCAAAGAGGTTCAGCATCCTGAGCACCAAAAAAAAGGCGCAAGGCTGAAGAGACAACTACAGCAGAGACATCCTGGGCCTCATCAGGTCCAGTGTCAGAAGCATGCAGAGTAGAAGCTGGCTCTCGATCCAGGGTCGAACTGAGCAACTACGGACATGCAGAGATGATCTCACAAACTGACTGAGCGCACCCACCTGTCTACACATACGGCACGCAAAGGAACCTGACATGCAAAGGTACAGGAGCAAAGGGTGGGCGAAGCTGTTGAGACTACAAGCACTCGGCCCACACATTCTTTGGAGCCAACCTGATGGTGCCAATGGTGGTGTAGGTGCTTCGTTTTGCGTGAAAAAGAGGTCAATGCTCGGGTTCCAACGTGCTGTCGTCACCTCCTCCTGGAAGGGGTGGGTCCTCTTCCTCACTGGCTGCTGACCTAAATGGAACAAACAAGCTGCCCAAGGATGGCATTTATCTAGCAAAGCCTGAGTTCCAAACAAAACCGAAGCCACTAGAGCTGGGAGCCCATTCCGCGTGCAAGCAGGTGACAGTCTTGCCTTTCGGAATGCAGCACAGCAAGGCTCTCAAGCATATGTCCATTAAATCCCATCATCACACACAGGGCACACACAGCAAAATGAGTTTTGTATACATGTCCGAGGCGTGCTACAGCAGCGTGTGGCAAGCTCACAGCACAGCTAGCAAAGCTAGCACCTGTAAATGTGCCAGCTCCTGTCCGGCATGCGGCTGTCGCATTCTACCGACCGACAGGATGCTGCAGCAGTTGCTCGAGCCGAAATGCTGCAGCTACGCAAACAAACGCGGGTCCAAACAAAGCTTTTGTGCTGGGAGCTACCATTTTGGAGTTGACTGCGATGGGACTGGTGGCACACGCTATTGATTCTGCAAAAGTTCGCAGCAAGCCATGTCAGGTAGTGATCAAGACTCCCTCGATGCTTTAGCATCATCCTTGCGGAGCGAGTGGCTCGCTGTCGTTGTGCTTAGACGGTGACCTTGTCGGCGTTGCCCCCTCCCTACCAAACACTCCCAAACTTCCTCAGTCTTCCTGACCTTTTCGTCTTGGATGCCGGCCCTCTTGGACATCGTTGCACCGACTCTGATCACTGACTAACGCATTAACTAACTGAGCACTTCTTCTTTCAAGCTTTGCAGGCTCAATCTGTGACCTGGTCAATGCCCACGCACAAGGCTCTGGATCGCCTGACCTTTCTCCTTCCTCTCCTTCCTCCTTCAACCCCTCCCTCGTCTCCCATCATCTGTCTCCATCCTTCCCTTCTGTCTTCGTCACGGGGACCAGCAAGATAAAAACACCATCACCTCAACAAGGCGTATTACCTACGTCTACTGCACTATCCCTCGATGCAAACAAGCACCCAGGGCATTGCACGTACAACCACTCAAGCCCAACCGCTTTTCGTCACATGACATCAGGTTGAGAGTGACATGCCCGAATGTACAACAACTGCATCTGATGCCTTGTCCAGTCTTCGGGACTTGCACAGGCAGCAAGACATTCATCATTAACAGCCTTCATCTAGCAGCCGTTTGAGCACATCGAAACGTGCCCAAGGCGCGGAAAATGCCTGCATAGACTAGCAAACAAAATTAACAAAGCGCGCAAGTGCAGATGAATCTTCAGAGTCCAGTTCCCTCGTCTGGATCGTCAGCGAGCGCGGCCAAGCATAGAAGATGCTCTTTCTCTTCCAGCGCCTCCTCTCATAGCCACATGCAGATCCCCTGAGAGTTCTTTCCAACCAATTATGCCGGTCCGTCTCTCTCCAGCTGATGGCAAGAAACGTCCTTGAGGTCCTGTAACCGCTGAGACACTTCCATCAGCTCTGACTGCAATGACTTTTCTTCATCTGCAGCATCGTCAGCTTCCGCTCGGATGCGGGGATTTTCACCTGTGGCTGACATTTAGGGAGCACTTGCACCTCGTGCGCTAGTCAATGCTGAATGGCAATGGATCTTCACACGCAAGCTGAACTAGTTAAGCAAACTGGTCGTAAAGGTCTTGCTGGGCACCGCGCCATACCTCAGCTAGCAATCACCAGGTCACCACATTGCACGAGAGCGGGCGGCTGTACATTCAAAATGCCGGCCTGGAGATGCGAGTCTCGGCATTCTGCCGCCTTTGTGAACTTGCTGTCAAAGCTTCCAACAAGGACCGCTCAGAATCTCGTAGGACAGCAGTCTCCTGCCAGAGGAGTCGCCATGTCCTAGGAACAAACAGAACTCGTTGTATCCTTCTGCAAGTCTCGGACTTGGTCATGCAAAAGGCTCCTCCACGACTCGCACAGGAGTTGTGATTGAGTTTCATGCCATTGAGAAGCACAAGGAAACAGCAACGCCTCTGATATTCAATGTCTTGCGACGCGATGACAGCAGAGCAGTTCGCCTGCTTCACGTTCCAAACACGACCATCAGCAAGTGTTTTCGAGGCTAAAGCGATCTGCTATGATTGGCTGGGGCCGAAAGTGAAGAGCCGAAAACAACCAACATCCCTTCACATTGGGCCCTGTCTTGGTTGGCCAGCCAGACTCACTCCAAACTCCATTCAGGGATCCAAATAAAACCTTTGGGTATTGCGGCTGGCGAGATCACAGTGGCTGAGGTCTTGCCACACGGCTCTCGCCTTCATGAGCTCCTCTTCCTCTTGGCGCTTGCGTTCAATCGCCTCTCTTTCCCGCTTTTCCTTGAGAGCCTTTTGCACCTCTAAGGCGAGTGCGCCAGTACGGGATCGACCCGTGACAACGTCCTTGCCCCACAGATCCCCGCAGCACACAGAGCTTGAATGGCTCACAGTATGCAGCGGTGGCTTTCTTGCAGATCAGGCAGCCTTCTCACCCATTTCCGGGCAGGCATGTACGTTTGTTTCCTCAAGCTGGCAGAGCAACCAAAAAGGATGAGAGCTACAATTCTAGAGAACAATACCTTACGTCCAGACAGACAAACTTGAAGAAAAGTTGTGCCCCATCAGGTTGGGCGAAATGCCGTAGGATGATTTTTGATAACCGCCAGGAGGAAATTATTGGAGAATCCCTGCTTTTTCTTCCAACCACCAATGCCAACGCGAAAGGCCAAGAAGCGAAGAAATCTCATAAACCCCGACAGTATCACACGAACCCAGACCCAAACAATCGTGGGCCAGAGCGACGTGCATTTTTTGCCAAAGGCAAAAAGCCAGAAGAGCAAGGAGCAAGGACCCAAAATTACAGTTAAAATCAGTTCAAGCTACCAGTTTAACTTTGAGTTGCGGAGCCTGACTCCCCCTGCCCCCGCCACACACCAACTCGCTGTCTCAGTTTTTTAGGCCTTCAGAGCAGATGCTGGGAAACGATGCTTCGCTTGTGCTTCATCTCGCCTTCTCTCACTCTTTGCTGCGCCCCTCTGCTCAGCTTCATAATAGAAAAATGCATGCGGTAGCTTGTTGTTCAAGAGCTGAATCTTGTCCAAGACGCTGCCGACGTCAACCGTGCGTTGTCATACTCGGATGCTTTCGCAGACTCAGGCAGAGCTGGCGGAGGGACCCGCGCATTTGAGGCCGTTGATGTTCCTGCACTAACCAACGCACAGCTGCGGTTCGCATCACAAAGTCTATGCAGGATTCAAGTTGAGAAGGCTGGCCGGAACCTTGTGAAATCGAAGGATCTGCAGGCACCTCTGGCGCCAGCAGTGCCATCTGCCCAGCGGTGCTGGCGGTAACGGTGTGCTGCTGGCTGGCGATGCTTTCCTGTGCCTCTGCGATGCACAAATCACCATGTACCTTTCAAGTGCATTGCGCGTGTTAACCACAAGAGCACGTGGGACTTGGGCTTACACCAATGACTCTCTCCTTGTTGACCGATTGCAGCTGCTACTTTTTGCAAGATCTTCCAGTGTTGAGGCATGGCTTATCAGAGGACACTGTTGTCTAATCAACACATGAAGATGCGGAATGGGTTGGCTTTCTTTGATTTTGAGTTCTTTATGGGAAAATCCCGTGCGAAAAGCAGCTTGAACTTTTTGTGAAAGTGGAAGCTTGCTGATGTTGCTTGGCTCTCCTAGTAGCCCTAGATAGCCCAGGGACTCTCTCTCGGGTTCTTCTTCTGCTGCTGCAGACGAGGCAACTTAGCGAGGACCCTTGAGCCCTTGCAGGGGCAAAGCACTGTTCAGGCTGCCCTTGCACACACGCGCATTGAATGCATGACAGAGAATGTGGAGACCGCTGTAATCCATTCCTTGCGCGTCTGCCCTTCACACTCTCAAGTGTCTATCTGCCCGCCTTCGTATGAAATGCTTTGTGAGTCTGTTTGGCTAGCCGCGGCCATGGTGTTGTGAATTGCATGTGCTCGGAGCCGGTTCAACAGTTGCATGGTGGTCATTCGCCGCCCTTGTTCCTATGGCTTGGTCTCCATCGGCCTGGCCCGCAGATTACTCAGGGGCTAGGCTTTCAATTGTCTCTCCGTGCTCCAGGTGACATCTTACAGTCAAGGGCCATGGTCATGATGAGCTGTTCCATCTCCAGCTTGGGGTTTTACTGGTGTGCTCATCCCTTCTTGTGTTTTTGCTCCTTGATCCGCCGCATCTCTTTTCTTTTCACCAATTCAACCGCAACCCACTTGTGCCGAGCTAAAGGGCCCCACAATAACAGGTAAGCATTCCATCTTTCATCTTTCATCCAGTCTCCTTGCACGTTGGATCCTGGCTTGACTCAACATGCACATCTTCCAGCTCATCCACGACTGTTTAGGCCTCCACCGGAGCCTCATAATGGTCCTGAGTACCTTGAGATGCGATTCAAATGTTCCTGCATGCCAGGACGCAGTGGCCTGTGTCTGTCATAACTATGTACCATCATGCCTGCTCCATTGAGCATCTGTGCATGTGGTCCAGCAGAGTGGTCCTGTTGTTAATTGAGCCAAGTAAGGCTTTACTGCTTTTTTAAAATAGGAGGAAAGAATCTTACTCTGTATCTCTCCAGCTGGTCTACCTGCTCCACGATGAGGGCCACCCCACTTGGGGAATCCTAGGATCGTCACCGACCTGACTTCCATCTCGGGCCCTCCAACCCCAAGACTTGGACATTCTCGAGAATCCTTTCAATCTTATGCAGCATGGATCTGATCATTTGCCAGCACGTCGACCCAAACATCACCTTCCAGGATTTTCAACGTCTGCAACACCGTCCGTAACGGCGTCCCCATGATTCCCCATGCGACTCCTCCTCAGCCCGTGCGACGTGAGACAGTTTCCTCGATGCACCGCCACGAACAACACGCAATTGAGAATATCTCTCTGTTTGTGTGTTTTGCTGTTGCTGGCAGAGATGAGAAGATCACCCCTCGCAGGCGCGTGCGGGGTCTCCAAATGAAGAGCCGTCCCTCTCGAGCTCTTGCTCCCTCAACTTCTAACTGAAAGGGCGTCACTGATGAACTTGAGTAACAAAATCTTTCGCGAAACAACATCGCGACGACTGTCTCCACCCGAAGAGTCTCTCTGCGAGTCTCTGCTTTTCTGCTTCGGGTCTGTCTCCGTTTACAGGCAAGTGGCAGCGGGGCAGGTCTGCTGGTTTCCAGCCGGCCGGGTGCCTCGCAGCGTGCGCAAACGGAAAGTGCAAATGCCAATGTGGCAACAAAATCTGATGTCGTCGAAATGTGCTATCTTGTTAAAAGGCTCACTTTCAAACAACGCCTTGTTCAGGGCAATGGCCATGAAGGTGCGAATGTTGACATAGCTCTGTCGAAGCACCAGCACGTCCCTCCGCAAGTGGTCTACCTGCATCCGCATCCTGGACACCTTCCTGCACAGGGACATCTTCAGAATGGCCTCCGCCTCCCCGTCTGTTGGGGGAGACTGGTGCCGTCGCAGACGCGCTTGCTTGCAAGGCATCCAGCAATGCTGTTCGCTGCTGCAAGATGCTCCTCTCGGGCTCTGCCACACAAACCAGAGCACTTCTAGGTGCCAGCCGCGGCTCCCAAGAACAAACACCCAGACGTCCCTGCCGGCTTGCCAGCTTTCGCAGCTCATCGGCATGCTCAGGAAGACGACTGAAGGTCGCAGCTATCTCCAAGCGACAGGCTCCACCCCCAATGAGAGCACGCAAGCCGCCCTCCGCAATTGCCACATATATGGACAGAATCTTAGGAGGGACTGAACCTCCTTGCCCAACCATCGAATGGTCAGCTCGTCGTCTGCCCTCCTAGATTGGCAGATCGCGACACGTCTGTACCATCATCTGTTGGCCCACGACCAAAGTATGCATAATTGGCATGAGACAAGCAGTCCTGAAGATGCAGATGGGAAGGTTCGCAGCTCGTATAATTGATGAACACCTTGTCTGGCACCCGCCCCCGACATGTTGGGTATAATTTGTGTGCGTTGGCATGCGCAAGCGAACTTCAGCAAGTACAAGCCTCCTGCTGGACATCCTCAAGGAGCAGTCTATGCCTGGATGTCAGGACCTCGGGAAGCCTCAGACCAAACAAGGGAACGTAACCAGCTGGACGCAGTGCAACTTACATGCACGATGCATCCTGCAGGCACGAAGCGCAGCCGCCACTCGAGGCGGATCAACATGCGATCTGTGAAGCCTTACAATGACTAGAAACCCCTTCTTTTTCACTTCGATCTGTACATGCCTTCTGAGATTTGCAGCCAAGCAACTTCAAGCCAGAGTTGTTTACAACCTGCGGCCACGCATCTGGGGAACTGTCTGACTCCACTCGGCTATAAGAAAGCAGCCTCAAGGAGGATGTCTTGATCCTGGAGCCAGTGTCTCTTACACATGCTACACGAGAGCATTGCAACCCACTCCCGCACTGCCTGCGTCTGTTGCTGCTCTTCTGCTCCAAGACGTGCACCAGATGGACGAGCGCCCATAACGACCAACAGGCCCCATAGCACGTAAGGATGTGCCGCTGTTCATGCCAAGCAAGAGTCTAGTGTCTAGTCTAGGGGGGCGGAAACAGGCAGATGCATGATCTGACAAGGCAGCAAGGACACTGCTTACGATTCGTGATGTTCAGTCATGATCTGCTAAATGGCTCGCCTCATCACTTCGTACAACAATCCTTGCCTGTCGAAGAGCCGTCAAGGAAGCGGGACTTTTCTACCCAAATCACGCCAGGAAGCAGTCATGCGTTTGCATGCTGTCTCCTTGGGAAAATCTGCTCGAGGCGACCGTACCCTCAGCAGAAAGCCGACTAAAAGACTGCATCATGTCGTGCACTCTGTAAGGTTGCACTGTACAACGTGAGACTGTGATTTCCAACCTCTGGCAGAACCGGCGCTGCCTACGCTGAGCTTGCTGACGAGTTCAACTGGCTGCCGGCACTTGAGCTTTCTTGGACTGGCAAGAAATGGCAAGACAACGCAGGACGCACGGCATGACTCTATGCGGCCAGGCCTTGACCGTCAGCTTCCTCACTTTCTTCTTCCTCCTCTTCTTCCTCTTCTTCCTCTTCTTCCTCTTCTTCTTCTTCCTCCTCCTCTCCTTCTTCATCTTCGCTAGACCTAGCCTCGCGAATTGGCAAGCTTGTGCCCCACGTTATGTGCTAACGACGACACGTCGACAAGTGCTGAAGGCACAGTCAGATACTCCAACTACCAAGGATACTGGGCGTCGAACACTCTCAGCCCCTGCCTTGTTGCCTCGCACGATGTGAGAACTCATGCAGGCTAAATGATAATGACTTGGATTTTCACTTTGCGGTTGCTTCAAGCCACTGTTGCCTGACTGCTGCTTCTTTCTCGTAGTGTCGTCAGTCACATAGCCTCAGAGACTGCCGAACCCGCTGATGCAGCGGATGCTTTTCTATTCAATCTTCTGATGCTTGAGTTTATCCTAGGCACCAAGGAAGCGCACTGTCAAGGTTGCAATTTCCTCTGGTCCGTCGTCACCCTTCCAGCTTCGACGCCTTAGATGCACAAGGACGGAAATAGATGCACGAGGATGGAAAGATGCAAAGCCAAAACCTGAGACAAAAAGCAGAACTTCCTCTCTCAGAAGGCCTTTTAAGATTTTTAAGTCACCAGCTGACTCTTTGACGCGGGGTGCATGCTAGCAGGCTGAGTCTGTGTTTCATTATGGCCGGTCAAAGATGCAGAAGGTGAATGCGTTGAGCCCTTTTCATGCGGGCCCTTGTCAAGGCCGGAACAACGAGGGGTCCCAGATGCTGCCTACCATGGTGCCATCTGGAGTCCTTAAGGCACGGTCGAAGTTGTTTAGGAAATCGGCGGCCAGAAGCAATAAGTCAGAGAAAAATTGACTAGCTGCTCAGCATGTCCAAAGATCCTGAAAAACGGCTTAGTTGGCGACAATTTGGCTCCATGAAGTGGAGACAAGGAACAGTGGCAGTTCTACAGTTTCTGGAGACCTGGTGGGCTTGTCCGTAGCCTCGCGAATGTCATGCAGATTGGCCTTTGATATTGGAAGCTCAAACATGGCAACGACTGTTGGGAAGAAGTCGTCTTTGACCATGAGCCGACCATAGATGATGAATGGGACTTTCGGGATCTTCAGCTTGACGTTCTTTAAGTCGAAGTTGATGGTGCAGAGGTTCTGGTCCTTGTTACCCTTCCGGTTCTCTGCTTGGGCTGCACTTTCATCCTCCTTGCGAGTGTTTTTGCCATCAGCATCCCCTAGCAACACGGCTCCCGGCAGGTTGTTGTAGCTTGACTTTGCATATAAATACTTGTCTCGCCGCGGGTAGTCAGAGAAGAGCTCGAGGTAAACATGCCGATTGTTGCAGCGAAGATGCTGATGGATGTTTAAAGAGCCGACACTAATAACAACTGTGATGCCAGTCCCTTGGACATCGTAGCGTGTTGAAGTGACCTTAGCAACCCTCAGCTTTACAGAGCATGTTGGAACGTGAATCTAAGCGTCAGACAACCTTGTTGAAGTTTGAATTGCCTGCATTATCCTCATCATCCTCGTCTTTGTTCACCACCTCAAACCTGCGGAGAACACAGTGTTGACCACTGCGTGGCAAGTGGCTAACAAACTTCCTTTGGTGAGCTGCGCAGAGCTGCGCAGCACGCCCAAACACAAAAACTCCAGGCAAGAAAACAAGTCGGCTCAGTATTCTGGCCCATGACCAAGGAACGCACCAGCAAGATTCAAGTGCGGGTTGCGAGTGCGCAAGATACGGAGCATGAGTGCAAACTGAAGACGGTGACGCTCGTGCTCGAAGCTGAATGAGAGCACAGTTTCGCCTTCCTCAAAATCAAAAGCTAGGTCCAGGATCCACGGAACATTCATAACGACATCGTCAGACTCCTTGCGCATCTCCATTCGACACAAGGCATCCAAAGGATAGAGCTCACCACTCAGTTCCAAGTTTAATAGGTCTTTGTCCAGGAAAGTCTTCTCCTCGAAGCCGTTGACCCTGATTATGATGCCCTGGGATCATGGCTGAACACGTGCTTTTGGCAACGACTAAAAGACTTCAAAAAGCAAAATCCATCACGACCCGTGCCTTGACCAGCATGGCAACCCATTGGTTCACAACTCTTTCCACCAATTTTTGCTGACTTTGCTCCAACCCAGTGCGGTAATGCCGGAACTCAAACGCACTGAGCTGCCTCGGCCCACGGGGAGGGAGGTGAGGCGTGTTCAAAGCAGCAACAATACAAAACAAGACTGTGGCTGTGCGAGGAAAGAGAATTACAGAATAAGAAGTCGTTTCCTGCACTCTGGAACAGAACTAACTAACGCATCAAGCATTCGAAAACTCCCCTTCCCCAGATGGGGAACATGTCTGATGCATCTTTGTCCGCACGCTCAGCTTTCTCGAGAGAAGTGCAGCCAAGAAAGTTCCAAATCGCTTCCATTGCCCTTGGCTCAGCTTTGCGGGCCCCTCTGTAAACTGGGATTCCCGTGCGGTGGACTTACCCCTGACTTGCTCACATCTGCTTCATCTCAAACACCCAAGCGGCTTGCGCAAGCCTCGCGACGAAGATCCATGGAAGCTAGTGCGGCTACTGATGACAAAGTCAGCACCTCTTCTGCGAGGCTGAATCTGCAAGGGTTTACTCTCTGATGTTTGTTTGCCATGTGCTCTTCATGTGTTGCTGCATTTTTTACGTAAGTATGGCGAAGCACGAGTTCTGACAGCCAAGGCAGCAAGCGACGCACAATGGCACACGCGACCAGCTGCAGTGTAAATAACACACCTTGCATACATGGCCTCTTCTGTGCACAAGTTCTGCGGCCTGTTTTCTGAATGGTCCACAGCAGCTGGAGATTCAAGAGCTCGCCTCCAGGACGTTGTGGCAACCCTTCCCGTTTCTACAAGCTTTTCAAGAAGTTCTTAGATACCAGGCCATGCGGTCGCAAAAAAACCGTTTGGCCACCAAAACAAACAAGCAACAGAAAAAGTGGCAATTACCCTGCTGCACGCATTTGCAAGGACCGCTCTCCCAGCTGATGCAGGGGCATCGATTGACAATGCTGCACAAGTTGCTTCAACACCAAGCTCAAACTCCTGCCAAAGGAAGTGGGAAAGTGTCTGCCTGCGAGGGCGATCTGATGAGCCTCTGGCCTTGACAAGGTCCCCACCCGCCCGGCGAATACTTTCTCTGAATTGGAAAGAGCTCCCAGCAAAGCTGAGCTTGTTCACCAGCAGGAGGAGCTTGAATTTTGGGTTCAGCATGGCAGCATGGGCAAAGATCGGCATAGCTGTGAGGTTTGCGTAAAGCATCGCACCTGCGGCTAGAAGCCTCTGATGATTGCTGCCACTCAGATCTCCTCGACAGCCCACGATTGTAGCCTGACAGTGCAGGAAGCAGGCCGATGAGACACATGCAAGGCTGCCCATGACGATGGAAATCTGCCAGGACGAAGAAGGGAATAAAATGCCCAATGTTCCAGGCCATGTTGTGCCGACGTAATATAATGAGCAGGTGGTGCTTGCCATCCCCGCTCCAAACACCACTGGCAGCGCGCAAGGTTCTCTGCAGCTGGGCACATCCATACCCAGAACTGACTTGGTCGATTCTGCGACAAACTGAAGAGCATCTGGCAAACACAGGGAGATAGCCTCATGTGCCGTCCACGGCACAAAGCACTGTAAGCTCATTGCTCAACCGCGAGTGCAGGAACAGCTAGGCGATCTGGCTCTCATGATTGCCATTGAGTTGTTCAACCCCGACTGGACTTTCAAGCCATTCAACATATGAGGTATTTTGTGATGCTACGCTCCGCTGAACATGATGATTCAAGCTGTCCTGGGCACGCTGCTGCTTCATGCTGCTCTGATCTGCTCTGTCCCTTCGGCATGCAAATTGCTGAAACGCTGCAACACTATGTTGTATTGACATGCCAAGCACCATTATGCAGTACCGGTCTTCCCCCTGCCATTGGGAGCGTACCTTTGCCATGGGGGCCAGATCAGGGGTACGACTGGTATCCCGTCAGCCACAAAAAGGATACCCGGTCGTACCCCTGTCCGGGTGGCGCCATCGCCGCCCACCGCTGCCACCGCCAACGCCACGCCGCCACCACCGCCAACGCCGCGCCGCCGCCACCGCCAACGCCGCCG